TTACGGGTCTGGTTTCATCCCCTGCCTGTTCCCTAAGCCCTCTCTCACTGGCTGTGACAGCCTCACTCATGCCCCGTGGTCTGTTTCTCTGTTGAGCAGCGGTGGCCAGCTTCTTCTCCGGCAGCTGTGTCCCCTGTGCGGACGGGGCGGCCTTCCCTCAGCTGTGTCAACTGTGTCCTGGCTGCGGCTGCTCCTCCCTTAATCAGTACTACGGCTACTCTGGCGCCTTCAAGTGAGTGCGACTGTCTGCCCCCCCGCGGCCACAGTGCGGGTGTCCTCAGAGTGAGGGTTCTGGCCCAAAGCCGAGCCCTGCCTGCCAACAGGGGCCTGGGGACGCCTACTCCCTCCCAGTGAGGCAGTGCTACAACTTGGGGCTAATGATGCTTTTCACCTGATCCTGGGGAGCAAACTTCCTGGGGGCCGATCCTCTGTCCCCAGAGCCCTCAAGCCTGGCCTGGCCTCCTCCCACTGGGCGGGGCAGGAACAGGCAGTCGGGTCCCCAGTGTCTGACCCTTGTCCCTGGCTGAGCCTCGCGGCCCTCGCTCCATCTCCGTGGCACCCTCCCCTCCCAGGGCCGCAGCCGCTCCCTGCTCCCTCTTCCCAGCCTAGGGCACGTCCCCGCCTGCAGGAGACATGATACCATTACCTCCTGTTCTAGACATTCAGAAACTTTCCTACAGTAAAACACCTTCAGTTGCTTTTTGCTGCTTGGGGGCTGCAGAGAGGCCTCCCCCAGGCCCTGCACTTGTCCCACAGCGGTGGACGCGGGCCGGGAGGGCCTGCCGGGCCGTCCTAACGTGTCTCTTCCTCAGGTGTCTGAAGGACGATGCGGGAGACGTAGCCTTTCTCAAGCAAACCACCATATTTGGTAAGCGGCAGGCAGGTCGGCAGGGCCCCTCCAGGTAGTGTTGTTCTCCCTCCCTGCCCCTTTCCTGCTCAGTCCACAGACACCAGTGCGGCACTCCTCCTTTATTGGGGCCTGGGCTTTTATCTGTGAGATTGCTGCTGAGTTCCTGGGCCTCTTTCCACCAAAGCTCCCACGGTGACTCCTCCAGGACAGTGTTGTCATCACACAGGACTGGGGCCTGGTCTGGTGAGCCTTGCTGTGCCCGTCGTCCTGGGAGATGAGACCATGGTGAGATGCAGGGCGGTCGCTGCTGCACTGTTGGCAGAAGGCTCTAGGCCTTTCTGGCTGCAGGATCTTGAGCAAGTCATTTTCCTGCATGTTCTGGGGCCCTCACTTGGCCACCCCAGGCCAGTCAGCTCTCATTTTACTGCAAGCAGCCGGTGGGGACAGCACCACTGGGACTCTACCTGTGGTCGATTCATCTGGATTTCCTCCCCAGAGAACCTGCCGGACAAGGCCGACCGGGACCAGTATGAGCTGCTCTGCCCGGACAACACCCGGAGACCGGTGGAAGAATTTGAGCAGTGCCACTTGGCCCGGGTTCCTTCTCATGCTGTGGTGGCCCGAAGTGTGGACGGCAAGGAAGACGTGATCTGGGAGCTTCTTAGCCAGGCCCAGGTAGCCCCCCGGCTGCCCCTCCTGCTTAGTAGTCCCTGCTGGGGTCTGCAGGGTTTCCTGTCCTGCCTTCCTGCTGCTGTAGAAGTCCTTACGTGCTCAGCACACAATGGAAATCGTGCCACGCCATCAGCTTCTCCAAGACCCCCCAGCTGGGACCCCTCACAGAGCAGCAAGGAGACCCTCGGGGATGACCACTCACCACCTTTCTCCTTTCAGGCTGATGGAGAGGCCACAGATTGCAAAGCAGCCCCTATTGCCCTGTTCCATTCCTCCCCCTTTAACTAGGCCATGAAGGCCGGGGGCAAACAGCCCTTCCCAACAAAGCCTTCCATGACCCCCAGAAGGAAGCAATGTCTCTCCCATGTCTGCTGGCCTGACTGCGAGGCAGTTGCTCACACAGCGGACCCTCCTCCTCTGTGGTGGGAGGCGGGCCGAGCCATCGTCCTCTCATTCACCCTCCCGTGGTACCCACCAAGAGCTTAGGTGGCAACCATGCAGTGCCGGCCTCTGGTTTCGGCACGTTTGTTTTCAGTAACCTCACGGCCCATTCTGGGAGACAGCACAGAAACAGATTCAGGGAACTACGGCATGGCATGGGCCTATGAGGGCCAAGGAGGTGCCGGGTGGGCTGCCCTCTCCTGGCAGCCTGAAATGTTGCCTCTTGTTTTCTGAGGGTTTCATTTTCTCTGCAGTCCTATGTCCCAGAGTCCTGTTCTGTTGCCATTCACTCATGTGTTTTACTATGAACAGGAACATTTCGGCAAAGGCAAATCAAACGACTTCCAGCTGTTCTCCTCTCCGCACGGGAAGGACCTGCTATTTAAGGACTCTGCCCATGGGTTCCTAAAGATCCCTGCTGGGATGAACTTCCGGCTGTACCTGGGCTACCAGTACCTCAGTGCCCTTCGGAACCTACGGGAAGGCGTCTGTAGGTATCAGGAAGGACAGGTGGCTGTACGAGCTCACCACTCTGGCGAGGGCAGGGACAGAGATGGGTCTGTCCAGGAACCCCAATTCCTTTCCTGATATTCCCTTTTCTGCCCGGTGAGCCCAATGTTAGACCGATGCTAAACGAAATCAGTCACTATGAGATGGCCCAGACAGTGCCAAGAGCTTTAAAGGAAATTCATATTTAAAATGGCTTGTGTTGGTCTCAGCGTTATTTTCTTTGTATGAGTCAGGACGGCTCGACCCACTGTGTGAAGCCAGTTAGCCTCACACTCAGTAACCAGGACGGAGTGACAGGGCTCCGATCGTACACCCCAGCCAGTGCGACAAGCAACATGTTCCTTAGCGAAGCTGGAGCTCTAGAGAGTCCATCCCAGTCCTGAAGTGCCCTGGGTCACCAGGGCCTTGTTCATCCTGTGGCCACTACTAAACGCTTGGCAATAACTTCCGCTAGCAGCGGGGCAGACCATGGTGTGACAAACATGTGGTCGGTCCTGCTGTCCCGGAACTTTCAGGCCAGGGAGAAGACAAATGTTCAACCAATAGTCACACTATCGAATGATAATTATGAAACGAGCCATCTGCTTGCAAGGGGAAAATGACAGCAAAGCACCACGGTCCTATGGGAGTGTGAAACAAGGAAAAGCAGGTCCCAGGTTGGGGATCAAGGGAGGCTTTCCCGCCGAAAGATGAGCAGGTGTCCGTTTTTCAGCAGACGTTGACACACTGAGCACATGTCAGCACTGCTCCAAACGCTGGGGCCCTGGTGGCCTGGACAGGCCTGGCCTTTCCCTGTGGAGCGCTCACTCTCCTGCAGGGACTGGTGACCATGATGGGCCTACAGATCAGTGTACATCAGGCGGTTAATTAAGTGCTGTTTGGAAAAGAGGGGGAAACTGCCTGGAGTCAGAGTGCTGGGAGGTTGAAGAGCAGAGTCAGGTTCTCGGAAGTAAAACGTCTAAGTCTAGCCTACATCAAGCAAGAGACTGGGTCTCGACTTCGCTTTCTATGAGATCGAGTCCTTGAACGGGATCTGCTTGCTTACTGCTGGCAAACGCAGTTCCGGGAAGACACGGAGCTGCGTGAACCCACCTCGGGGGCCTCCTCTGACCTCTGTTTCCGCCCCTCGTGCCCTAGGTTCGGAGACGAAGAGCGAGTGCAAGGCAGTGAAGTGGTGCGCGGTGAGTCACCACGAGAGGCTCAAGTGTGACGAGTGGAGCGTTAACAGCGGGGGAGAGATCGAGTGCGAGTCCGCAGAGACCACGGAGGACTGCATCGCCAAGATCATGGTAGGGGCCCCGTCTCCCCAGGGAAGCTTCCGGCTGCTGCCTGCTGGCCCCGCAGGCTGAGCTGAGGCGTTTCTGGGTGTCCTGGCCTTGTGAGCACGTGCCCGTGGAGCTTCAGAGCCATCGAGCTTATGGATCTGAAAGTCCCTTGAAGGGCCGTTCCCTCCTGGTATGCGCGTATAGCGAGAGTGTAAGAAGCGCCCTGCTCAGGGAGGCTGGGCCCGGAGAGGGCGTCCTGGGAGACCCGTGAGTGTGGCAGGACCTCGTGTTGATTTTGCAAGTAGGTACAATTCGCCTTGTTGCTTATAGAGAATTTTTTGAAAATCCTGAATGAGGGACCAGCAGATGGCATAATGGTTACATTGCTGGACTCCCATGTAGTTGACCACAGTTCGAGTCCCAGACCCAGCAGCTTAAAACTCATGCAGGGTGTGTGTATGCATGCCGAAAATCCCAAGAGGAGAATGGAGGAGAAGGGGTTACAACACAGCCCTCCCCGGGGGGGGTGGTGGGGTAGGGGTGTGATTTCTCACTTTCTATCTTTCTGTCTCTGGTGAGTGCACACACACCATAGCAAAAATCTCTCTTAACAAAAAAAGAAAAAAGAAAAAAGAAAAGAAAATCCTGAATGATATGAAGAAGAAAATAGAAAGTACTTGCAGCCATGTAACTTGGGAGATGTATTAAGGTTATATCAGATAGGTTGCTCACTGCCTTTTACTGACCTCACGGTAGCTCACGAGCTGTCCTCACTGTCATACGGAATTCTTTAGCAATCCAGTTCGGAGCTTCCGTGCTGGTGCACCCATGGAAGTGCTAGGGAGGTGTGTGCCCAGGAGTGTGCACCTGCCACTCCTTGCCCTTCCCGATGCATCTCTTCCATTTGGCAGTTTTTGATCTGGATCCGTTATCATAAACAGATGAATGTATTAAAACAAAATATCTTGAGCCACTCTTACCTCCTGCCATTGTCACTGTTTTTGTTTGTTTCTTTGTTTTGCCATTGGGTACGTGTGCCCACCGGAGAAAGAGAGAGACGGAGAGAGGGAAAGTAAGAAATCACTGGAGAAAGAGAGAGAGGGAGAGAGAGAAAGTAAGAAATCACCCTCTGGGGAATGGTCATGCTGCCATTCCGTCTCCTCCATTCTCCTCTCTGGAATTTGGACACACACGCACATGTGCCCGGCATGATTTTCAGGCTGCTGCGTTTGGGACTCACATGGTGGAGTTGGCCATGGGAGGTCCAGGCCTGATCCGCCATGCCATCTGCTGATCCTTAACCACTTCTTACTGTAATCTGCTAATTTTACTTTTTAAGCACTTATGAATAACCACCTATTTTGGGGACCAGCAGTTGGCATAATGGCTATGTAGCTGGACTCCCATGTGGTTGACTGTGGTTCGAGTCCCAGACCCGGTGGCTTGAAGGCGCAATGTGTGAATCCTGAGAGGAAAATGGAGGAAAAGGGATTGTGGCGTGGCCATCCCCCCAGGTGATGATTTCTTGCTTTCTCTCTCTCTGTCTTTCTGGCGAGTGCACGCACCCTCCCAAAAAAGAAACCTCTCCCCCAAAAATTAACCAACTGTCTTTAAAACCATTTACCAATCCACCATGAAGCAAAAACAGACCATCAACCCCATTCTTCTATAGTTGACATGTTTTATAGTATCATCTTGTGCTATTCTAACATTTATTCCTTTTTTTCTTTTGGTCTGAGTTAATACAAATCAAACCAAATTAAAGCAAAGCCTGTAAACTTAAAACCTCAGTCTGCATACAAATCTGCTAATGGTTCACATGTTGCATATGACACTTGAACGTGATGCACTCAATAAAGAAACATACTAAGAAAGACTCTTAGGAACACATGAAATCATAAATGAGGAAGATGATGTACAACTGAATGGAAACTTTTTTTTTTAGAGAGGTTTTTGCTATAGGGTGTGTGCGCTCGCCAGACAGAGACAGACAGAGGGATAGAAAGCAAGAAATCACCCCCAGGGGGATGGCCACGCCGCAATCCCTCTCCTCCATTCTCCTCTCGGGATCTTGGGCATACACGCACACGCGCCCGGCGTGAGTATAAGCCACCAGGTCCGGGACTCAAACCATGGTCGACTACGTGGGAGTCCAGCAACATAGCCATTACGCTAACTGCTGGTCCTTGGAAACATTTTTTTAAAAGGCCTATTCTTGGACACTAATTTGCTCTCCTATAAAGATACCAGTTTCAAGTCACGACTTTTGGAAATAGCTTACGGATGTCGGGCCAGAAATCAAAGCCCAAGGTCACCACGTTCTGTGAGACCTGGGCTGAGTGGGTGACACCTGGGCTGCCCAGGTGTGTTTCTGTGTAACATTCAGCCTGTCACATTACATGAGACTCTCAGATGTCCCACAACTGTTTGCAGATTAAATGTAAAAAAAAGCATCCTTGCTAGTCAAACCTCCTGCGAACCAAGTTGAAGGATATAGCTTATTTGGCCCCACACCTGCAGCACATCATCCCTCCACGGAAAGTCCTAGGCCTGGCCGAGACCCCCTAGGGTGTTATGGGACACACATGGCTACAGTGGACGCAAAGGTGAGCATGGAAAACAGCTGTCATGGCAAACGGGCGGTCTCAGGCATTACAGTAATTATGTACAGTGGCTATGCAGGACTTCCACAGGGAGGCCTGCTCCTGCTGTC